GTTTGGTGGCTTATTTATTTGTTTAGTAGCATGTTTTTCCTCTCTCGAAACTCTTGTTCTTTACTCTAATCCTTTGAATGTCTATCACTTGCTGTAGGTAGCTTGTGTCGACTGTCTCAATCCACAAAACCAGATTTCCACAGCTCGATGCATAATGATTCAAGTCCAGCACCTTCCTTCACTCTGCTGCAATGGGGTAGGAGCACCCAGCCAACCTCCTCCAGTCTGGGATTGTGCCAATTCCTATCATCTTTAATCTGCAGTAGGCCTATAGAAGGTAACAGTCAAAGCATCTGGGAGGCCACTAGAGCAGGAGGCCTGCAATATCGCATAGGTTAAAACTGCAGCTGATGTCGCCTGTGAGTGTTGAACATGACAGGGCATTTGACTGTCAATGTGTGAACATTTCCCTCCCCAAAACACTTGACTGCTCCCATTACCAGAAACAAAATTACAATGGGAGAAGGAAAAAAAACAAAAACCCACCTGCTCCAGAAAGTCACACTGTGGATTCCAAATTCCAAATTAAGGAATTGCATAAGAAATTGTTATATAATCATGGAAAAATTACAGTATATCGGAACATGCTACCCCATCATCTAGTGAATGAATTTTTAGACAATGTTTATAGAATGGTCCTCTGACTGGTCCTGAGCTTATTTGGGGTTTTTTTTGGGGGGGGGTATAACTTTGTTCTGTTCTGAAGTTCACAGGATGACCTGAGAAAGTGATTGTAAAAATATCAGTTTATCATATTTTATTACTGTCTACAGTCTCTGGGGTTGATCCATGACAAATATCCTTATTTCTAGCAGCCAAGCAGGGCAATCTCCAGCTTGTGCCGTCTGTTAACAGAACTGTGGTTGGATACAAGAAGATCGACTCTCAGTAAAACACAATTGCTTTCCCAGAGTTTGGGTGGTGGTAGTGGAGAAGGAATGCAAGCTTCTATTTTCCCAATTTAGTATCTAGATCTGTGAGATGCTTACTATGATCATTTGTATCCTGGCAGCTCTTTCCTTTTTCCCTCTTTCTTCTGTTATACTCTTGATAGGTAAGTATATCATGTACATAGTTGCACATGCTCGTCTTAATAATTTTGTTTTTAAATATGTTATTTCTTCACATAATTAAATTATGTATATTGCAAAATAATGTGCATGGCTATGTAAAGGTAGGGGAGTGGGAAGGCAGGGAGATGATAAGTTACTGGTTGCATCAGTGCCTGGAAGTAATTCTTAATGAATGATTTCAGTTTTAAACAGAAAGGGTAGGGAACCTATAGTCAGATATTTTTGGATTCCAATTCTCATCAGCTTCAGCCAGCATGATCATTGCTTCAGATTGACCAGACCTATTGTCCAACAGCAATCGAAACATGTACATCAGGGGTCCCCAACCCTGGTCCATAAACCAGCACTGGTCCACTGCATGCCAGAAACCAGGCCACACAAACAAGCAAAGTCCCATTCGCGGGATTCAGGCAGTATGTGAAACCACGCCCCCTCCGCAGAACCTCTCTCCACAGAACTTGTCCATGGTGCCCCAAAGGTTGGGACCACTGATCTACATTACACCCCATCTTTTGGCTGCAAACAACTTGGAACCAACCCCAATTGATGGGGTTCCTACATAAAGCCTCCTCTTTTTAAGGCTCAGCTAATGAGGGTTTCTTCTGGGTTCGAGGTGGTGACACTAAATTAAGTGTAAACAAACATTTTCATTTTTATAAACTTCATCTAACATGTCCTTGTTTGTGTCATTTATTTATACTGTACAATGTTCTGCTCTTTGAGGTTGTTTTGTTTTATTGTGATAGGGTCAATATTGTTGGATTTTTGTGTAAGTTTTTCAAATTGTGGCAGAGCTGGATTTATACCTACGTTTGTTTCTTTTTTAACTTTGGATACTTACAACTGTTTTCATTTATTTCCTGAACATAAAGGGAGGCTTCATAGTAGTCAAGGCCAGAAGGAGCTCTGAGAGTTGCAGTTGTAGGCTGCTCACCCATTTACTTTATGAAGTCTGACCAAGCATGGTAAGCTTCAGTTTGTGGAACTACAACTCCCAAACTTCCTAACTGCCTATCTGATGGAGATCATCTGTTGGAGAAGACAACATGCATTGGGAGGAAGATAGACCCCCTTCTCTCTGCTTTGTCACCTAAGAAAATCAGAAGAGTCTTTTGAGTCATATACTTTAAGGGGTGCCTCAACTACTCATGTGTTACTTCAGTCACTCAGAGAGCTTCAATAGACGGTCTCTACGGTCATTTGTTCCCAACACTTGGTCTTCTTCAGAGGACATCTTTCCCTGTGGACTTTCAATTTCTGGACCGGATCGTTATTCAAAAACTGAAAGATACCTGCGTCTTGCAGTAATGAAGTTAAGACATTTTATATTGAATCAATTCACACATTGTAGAAAACCATATTGTAGCTTCTTTGCCTTTGACTCAGTATGATGTATGAATCCAATCACTATGGCTTAGCATTATGAGTAAACCAAGCCACTGTGTTCAAGAACTTGTTCAAGAACCTGTTTTGTCCTGATCAATTTTTAAATCCTGGCTTAGCATTATGTATGAATGCAGAAAGGGTATGAAGTCCTCAAATTCAATTCTTTTCTTTTTTTTCCCTTACTGTTTAATAAATTATTTTGCTGCTGGAAATTTCAAGTGGCTTTTGAGCCAAGGGAATTCAGTTTGCTTCACTTGCTCCCCATCTTCTTCTTCTTTTTTCCCTGTCCAGTTAGAAAAGGTGGACAGGAGCTGCAGTTTCACCATTGTGATTGCATTTTAATCTTCAAAGTGATTAATTTCTGAAATGCAGGAGGGTTCAAGCTGGTGTGGAAGCTCAGCCTCCATTCTCCTCCCTGCTTCTTTTCCTCTGTAACTTAGGCATTGTTTGGTCTGCCCTGTCTGGGAAGCACTGAATGGTTTCAGGTGTACCTTATAGCTGTACCACACCATTAAAATCAATCGGGGCTGAAGGGCAGGGTTGTATGGTGTCTCTGTGTGTGTGTGTGTGTGTGTGTGTGTGTGTGTGTGTGTGTGTGTGTGTGTCTGCCAGTGTATTCTCCTAGAGTGAGGAAGCCATTACTGCTCTTTGTAGGTGTTTNGTGTGTGTGTGTGTGTGTGTGTGTGTTCCTCTATGTAGTCCTAGGGTGAGGAAGCCATTACTGCTCTTTGTAGGTGTTTGATATTCCTTCACACAAGCTAACTCTTAACAAAGCGCCTTTGGTTAATCAGGTACATAATGCATCGTCATGCATCTTCATATATCTGAGCTAGCCGGTTTTATATATACGTTTCAATGCTAAAGGGAGCCTGCAACTTTGAGGAATTTATCTGCTGGTGTTGGATGTAAATGGGAGGGAATGCTAAATACCCAATCGCTCTATCAGAAGTATCCGAGGTTTGTTCTGGCATTCCTTCCCTTCCCCTTTAGTTTCTTCGAAGCTGCCTCCGAGGCGCAACGCCGAAACCCCGGAGGAAAGCCTGCATTCCCTGGTCGCCCAGGTGACTTTTTGCCGGTACTTTCACGGGGGGGGGGGCTGTTCTATAGAGGTTTCCCTCTTTTTTCTCATCTTCTCTCCCAACCCGCTGGATCATTGCCCGCTTCCCCAACCGGTCAGGCCAAAGCAGATGCCCGGCCAGACTTGCCATACGTGACACGTGCGCTCAAACATTGGGCAGTAACAAGCGCTGGAGATTTACCCAATCTGCGGGGCGCACAGGACTTTCAGCGGGGAAATCCCAGCAGCTTCTTACGCACGGCTACTTGCAAAGGGCCGCCATCCACCTCAAATGGTTCCCGTGCCTTTTCACCCCGGCTGCAGGTGTTACACCGATAGGCAGAAATACAGCTGTGGTGCAAAGCAGGGGGACACAAAGGACACCCCTGCTTTGCACACCAGCAGTATTTCTGTCTATCAGTGGAACATCTTCCCCCTGCCCTCTTTCTGCACCAAGGCCATAACCGCGCACCAGTGGCGGATGAAGGCTCACTGGTCCCCAAAGCACTGACAAATCTTGGTGTGCCCCCCCATCTGTACATACTGTACAAATCTTCATTGGTGTTTTTTTCCCTCAACTCTGTAGTGCCCCTTTTGGGTCTGGTGCCCTAAGCACGTGCTTCGTCTGCTTCATGGTTAATGCGCCACTGCCGCGCGCCCCAGAAACACGCGAGGCGTTTGCAAGCAGCCTTTTCCTTCGCCCCAAGCTGCGGGGTGGGCGAAGTTGGCTTGAGGGGGAGGAGGGCAGAGGGAGAGTCCCTGGAAACCAGCGCATCTGGGCCAGCGGGATGCTTTCAAGCGATGTTGGGCTGGTCCCGTCGAGGGGTGGATGGGGGACGGTCTTTGCTGGGAGGGGGGAGAGAGAGGTGGGGAGGACGCGGGTCTAGGGACATCCCCGGACAGATGAGAAGGGGCTGGCACATTGGCGAGCAACACACAAGAGGAGGGACCAGGGCCGAGCTGGTGCGTACTGCCGCTCGGGCGCTCCGAGAGTGGAGCTCACACCCACCCGGCCGACTGCCTGCCTCCTCTTCCCAGCTCCGCAGCCGCCAGCCTCCAAACGCCGAGCTCGCCTGCTCCTGGCGCGGAGCTGTCAGCGGAGCCCGTCCTCTTCGCTTGGCCCCCGGAGTCTTCTGACAGCCAGCGCCGCAGCCTCGGCGAAGCTCCATCCGGGCGATCCTCTCTGTGCCGCTCGGCTGCGGGACGCTCTTCGTGGGATGGGCTGGGAGCGCCCAGGGACTCCCTCGTCCTGACCAGGAGGTTGAGCCGCCCCGGCGGGAGACGGTCCCTGCGGGCAGAGCGAAGGGAAAACGAGGCCCGCGGAGAGAAACCGAGAGCCTCTCGCGCACCTCAATCCCTACTCCGGATTCTTGCCGGTTAACATAAGCCAAAGGAAACCAAGAAAACCACCCGGGCCCGCAGCGCCGGCTTCTGCGCCCGTAGCCAACCAATCAAGTCCCCGCGTAAAAAAAATATCTCTCAGGATGAATCTCTTCTCTTCCATATTCAGCTATTTGTAAGTATTGAGTCTTGCCGCTTATGGGCCGATTTGGTTTTCCCTCCCCCTCCCCGAAATAGCCTCCTCGATTTTCCATCTTTATTTCTGCTCCATTTCAATGGCAAAATTCATCTCACCATCTACTTTGTTTTCCCCTCCAATCCCCCTTTTCCATTATTCTAGGCTACTGCACTTGTTTGCTTTCTGCTTGCAGGCACAGGTAAGGACTTCTTTTAATCATTTCTAAATAGCTGCGATGTATTATTATTATTATTATTATTATTATTATTATTATTATTATTATTATTATTATTATTATTATTATTATTATTATTATTATACGGATAGAGCCAAGATTTCTTTTTTCCCCCTCTTTACTTTCCCCCTTTTAAAAACTGATGTAATAAAAGGAGCCCCTATGATTAAGAGACTAACTAAGTGCGGGGAGTAGAGAATAAAATGCAAAATGTGGGATTGATTGAGTTAAAGTAAGAATAGACGTGCACTGAACTCCCCAATTGTAAGTGTTGAAGAATCCCGATGGAAAATGAGTGATGATCTATTTAAATCTTAGTAAACTGTTTTTCCATCCAATTTCCAGACTTAAATAAGAGCACATTCCTTCCATTATTATGATTTTTTTAAAAATTATACTTAAGCGATATACATTAATTATAGGAAAGATCTTATTCTTGCTTCCTAGAAATTAGAAACCTCATTAACATATGGAGCAACACAGTCTGATACTCTGGAATTTATAACCCTTTTGGTGTAGTATTGATTGCAAAAGCCAAATGCTTGTAGAAACAATCCCCCTGCAAGAGAACAGGTGTAGGATTCTGAATTAAATTTGGAAGGATCTCTTATAAAGCTGAGTAAACAAATTGAATTCAGTGGATCTGAGTGTAAAGGGAGTGTAGGCTGACCGTGTTGTAATATTTGGGGACACGAGATGGAAATCAAAGAGCATTATCATTGGCCACATAGTCTACTCATTAGAGCAGGCAGAGCAATCCAGAGATGTTATGGAAAGAAATGCCACTAGGAAACCCATGCATCCCTCTGTGTGTGTGTGTGCACGCGCACACACTCACACACACACAACACACACAAAGGATAAGAGAATTACAAGGGAAGACTTTCTATAAAGTCTATCTTTCAGGAAGAGGTTGCTTCCCTGTATCTTTAGTAGCTGATATGGGGCTGAAGATGGGCGGGGAGGCAGTGAGGAGGGAGGCTTTTTTCATGCACTGCCACCCCATGAAGTTGAAAGGAACAAATCTCCTCAACATTTGCTCAGAATACGTCTTTATAAATGTCAGGGGAAAAGTAAAACCCTTCAGACTTAAAAGGGGAGCTGGAGACATATTGGAGGTGGAAGAAGAGCAGCCTGAGAGAGGAGGGGAAACAGACACGGGGGGGGGGGGGGGCTCTGTGGCAAAGCTCAACTGCATGGTTGTGGTTGGAGCTCAAATCGCCGTAGCTGAACCTTCTGCTAACAGGCTCGCGGTAACTTCGAAAGCGGGTGGGTGGGTGGGGAAACCATGGCAAGCTTCTCTATATGGAAGGGCCTCATAAATATTAGTGAGAGACAATTCTGAACTGCCTGGACTGCTGACACAACCAATCCCTGTTTAAGGAGATAAAATACCCCATCCCACCCGCACCCTCATCCACCAGTCACTCTGGTCCAGGGCACGGAGCCACAGGACAAAACTCTCAGTTGAAATAGCTGGAAAGCCAATATCAAAGCAATAAAAACAAATCTAGGCACTGAAAGACTGATTTCCGGGCAAGTAGGATCCCTTGTATTTCAGGTGATTGTATTTAGGCCAGTTCAGGATTTAGGGTGTCTTGCATGATATGGTTGTGAATGATGGGGCAATTTCATTTGTATTTTTGTTTTCCTTGTTGAGTCTTCCTTGATTTAAAACGTCACAACAGGATTGAGAACCTAGTGTAAATCTGCATAATCTCTAGACACATCTCTGAAACCAAAGGAGAGCCATGCCAGTACTCGATTCCGAGCCAGGCTCACCTTTGTATCCCCTCTCGCATGTCTGTTTCCCAGTGATAAACTCCTGGGCAGCCCAGTAACTTTTCAGTCATGGCTAGAATCCTGGTCTTTGCTATATCAACGCATAAGAGTCTTGACTCTACACTGCACCAACTTGTGGCCCTCTCCAGATACACCAGGAGCACACCAAGATAGCCTTTCTCAGAGGAGTAGAGATTATAATGGTGTGTTGTATATTTTTTAATTTCCTAAAGGTAACTGTTCAGTCCCCACCTAATTTTACACAGCATGTGAGGGAGCAGAGCCTGGTGACCGACCAACTAAGCCGGAGACTCGTCCGGACCTATCAGCTATACAGTCGAACCAGCGGGAAGCATGTTCAAATCCTGGACAACAAGAAAATCAACGCTATGGCAGAAGATGGAGATGCTCACGGTAAGTCTGTCTGTGTGGGCAGGAGCATTGGGAGAGTGGGGGGTGGGGAGGGCATGCATGCAGCCCAGTAATTGATGATTTCCGTCCCCTTTGTTTGCCAGAAATCATTACAAGCATTTGGAATGCAGAAAGCCTCTGACGGAAGAATGTGGGGATCAATATTTGTAATAACAGTATAATGCATTTCCCTTTGCGGATTCAGTCGGAGCTTCTATGGAGGAGATTGGGCTGGGTTTTACACCTGATCACTGGCCACAGAAATGGTGGGATGAGTTGCAGATTTTAAGAATTAAAATCACAGGACGGTGGGAGAATAGGTGTCTTCTTGCAGTATGTTCCAGCCTAACAGTGCAACCGAAAATAAGGAAACTAGGAGCATGCTGTTATGTTAACTCTAGGTTTCCTAGAATCACAGGCAAAACTGGCCTTCAGCTAAGGAAAATAAGCTTTTAGGATGCACAAAATATCTTTCCCAAAGAGAAAAACATGTGAGCATAAAAGACCAGCTGTAAAGTTTTAAGTGAGACTTAGTTTTACAAATGTTCAGTTTATATTCAGTTCATCAAGAATGGACTGCAACAAACCATAAACCCATGTTCTCCTTTCTCACCTTAATTATGCTTATGAAACACTATATAATATTAAATGAGATGCTCCATAATTGCGCTGTCTTCAATTTGTGGTCTGTAATGCACATCCTAGTATTGAATCTCCATATCACTACAATTTGTGTATCATGACTACAATTATTGACCTCTCACATTAGCCACAATTTTTCCCTCCCGCATCAAACTATTATCTGAAAAATCAGGCAGGTTTGCTTATATTTAAGGTCGCTGAAGTTTTTATTAACATTTTTAGGAAGCACTGATAGTGAGGGCAAAGTTTGCATGTGTATACAGTATGCAACTTAGTTTTCAAGGAAACTGTCTCAGCCATATCTGAAATACATAATATACTTTGATTCTAAATAAAGGGGGAAATGTGCATCCCTTCTTTAAATATACCGTTCTCTAAAAAGTTACTTAATGTTTAAATAACAGCATTACAACACACAGGAATGAATGATTTGAAAAAGAACATATTACTATTAAAACGATTAAGCATTTGAAGCATAAGAAGCAAACTCAGCAGTGATTTAAAAAGAAAGAGAACACAAGCAGTTTTTCAGATGTAAGGTTTTAGGAGAATTGGAAGTCTGTGAATGTTAAAATAAAGATTCAGGATTGTTCTATATGAATCTCTGGAGAGACCCCCATGTCTGGAAGAGCTATTAAAAGTCTTCTTACTTTCACCTTTTTAAACATTTCCTGAATACTTTCTGCTCTTCGCAGTCCAGTTAGGGGATCAAGTGTGCCTCGCTGCATTTTTTCTGCATCTACGTAGCCACTTTCCTTTCAAAGTTTGAGCATGAAACATAATTTTTTTACTGGGATAAATCTGTCACTGAAGGGAAAGAATAGAGTTGGAACTGTTAAGCTTTCACCCCTTCACTAACAAAACCAACTTTTCACACCCTTCACATCTTACGTTATACTTATTTTGCTTTTTAGTTATTTTCTTTCTTTCTTTCTTTCTTTCTTTCTTTCTTTCTTTCTTTCTTTCTTTCTTTCTTTCTTTCTTTCTTTCTCAAAAAAGTGATTTCTTTCCACCAATGCCCATTTTCTCTGCTGTGACATTTTAATAGCTGGTTTAAGGTCAGGTCCATTTTTCTTGGTTATCTGTCTTGACTGTCAATATCTGACTCAGTTTTATAATTAGGAGTGAAGCCTATGGATCTTAAAGCTTGTTGTCCTTCTGTCTGTAATCTGACTTTGAATCGCTACATCATTATGAGAAGAAGTAGCGTTAGAAATGAATGATAATGATTGCATTTCCCCCCCCCCCCAGTTGTGCCTTTTAGGAAATTTTGCAAGCTCAGAAATAATAATAAAACATATACAACTTTTGTATGTCTTATTGTTATTTTAGGATTGGAATGGGGATTTTGCTAGTTTGGCTTCTTGCAGGCATGTTATCGTTTTCCCTCTGGCAGTTGTATCTCCGTGCCAAAGCAGTGCAGTTGAGTTTGTCAAGGCAGCAGCAATTCAGTGCTAGAAGGTGAGTCCCTAAAGAGGCTCGTGTGGTAAAGCTGACCAACAGGCAATAAATCAGAAAAAGCCCTTTGAAAAGGTAGAAGAGGAAAAAAGCATGTGTTGCTCTGACTGTGTTTGAGGCTGCTTTTCTATGCCTTTCCACCAGTCAGCAGAGGAAGAGCATGAAAACTGATGCTCTTTAAATGTTAACTGCTCTCTTGATCGACCTCCCTTACTCGTGTCCCCCAAAGAGAGATAAATAAGGGAACCTTGTCTATGCAGTTCAATGAAAAGGAGTCAGGGGTCCAATTGTCCTTGAGCAAGGAGGAGATTACAGATGTTAATATTTTATAGACAAAAAAAAAAGCAATAAAGTTAAAGGACTCATAATAGGTTAGAAGAAGAAGAAGTGATGTGATACTGGAATTTTGCAGATTTCAACCTGGGGATTATAGTTGGTGAAGTCCAAAGCTGGTGTGGAGAAGGCTACAGTAGTGTAATCCATATACAGCTCAGCATTCACCCAGGGAAAAGAACTGGTCATACTCAGTTTCAAACAGCAAGAGTTAAGAGAGGCAAAAAGAGAGGGTGAAGGGTGAGGGTGATGACATCAGGCTAAATGGCTTTAAAAAGGATTCATTAGGTTTCTGGAAAAATTGGTGTCCATCTCAGTAGCTGAATTGGTGCCATGCAGAAAATGCCCTGCGTGCTTCTACTAGTAGTGTCTATTTCCAATAAGAATATTAGTTTTTAAAAAATACAATTTATTTTGAAAGAAGTTCTCAAGGATCTGGGCAATGAAGTAGAAAAACAGAAGGCGTTTGTAAAGGGGAAAAAATGCTGTTGACAAATTTTAATGCTGTTTCTGCATTATTATTAAATATTACATTATTGGATTGTCTTGCCATTATAGGAAATGGAGTTCTGTTCTAGACAGACTTGATTTGACCAAGCAGTAATTGTGGCTATGCTTTAATTAGAATAAGAGTAGAATAATGTATTTTTATTATAGAACAAACTATATTTCTGCTGGAAAGCAGATAGATTGCTTGGATAGGGAAAGGTAAGACCATCCAAACCATAGGTTATTTGGAACCTTAAAGGGATTCCCTACCTGATCTGTTTTGTGCCCCATCCTAGTGTGAGAAGGCTGTTTAAGATTTCAATAGTGGTATTTGGAATATTTTGGAGGAATTCATTGATGGCAAACCATCAATGTTCTTTCGATCTTATTGGAAAAACTGCTCCTTGCACAAAATAATACCTTATAGTAGCCACCTTCATTCCAAGAATGGGGTTTTCATCTCAAAAAAGAGATATGCCTAGATTTAAAGTATTTCCACAATGGTGATTTGTAGCATCTTCTCGCATTACCCAGCCACCACATCTCTTTAGTGACTCAACCACAGTTGGATGTCTCTAGAAGATGTTGCAAGTTCTTAAGGGGGATCTGGAGAAAGTTCAGTTGTAGCCTACAAACCTTGCTCTGTGAAAGACAGGGATGGTCTTCTTTGTGACTGGAATCACTTTTTCACGTAGGCTGTTGGGATTCACAGGATATGGCCATCATGAGAATGCATTGATTGTGCCAGAGGAGAATGGAATTCAACTCATTTTGGAGAGTCTGTACTTTTGAAGTAAAACATTAAAGAAATAAAACAATATCTCATCAAATTGGACAATAAATCAATCAGTTTATTTGGACTGTTATGTGGCATTTCTCAAATGAACATTGGCATTGGAACTGTGGTGGGGTGCGGATGAGTTCAAGAGTTCAATAAAAAGGAGCTACATGTAAGTCATATGTTATCTATCTCTGTGGCATAAAAATGGAAGGGGATAATTTGGGATGAACTATAGAAACCTATGAAATAATATATCCCCAAAAGTGTTATAACCAGCTTCTAGTAACAGCAAGCTTCCATTAATTCAGGATACTCCTGAGGTTATTGTGCCAGCCTTGACTTGATGATAACAGCATCTTGGCTTCCATTAGTTTATTTATTTAGCCCAGTAGAGGGGCTGTTTCTAGGCAACCCACATTGCAGGGCTTGTATGTGGACTTCCGGAGCAATTGATGCAGTAAATAACAAATAAATAAGTTCTTGCATTGCAAGCTGCAAGATGAATAAAAAGAATAAAATCCAAGACTTGATAAAGGTATCAAGTTTTCCAAGACACAGAAGTTGTAGAAGTTGTTTCAGTATTAACATAGTAGCTTGTAGCATAGCAGCCTGGGCACTAACATGTGATCATCCCATGTAATCTCTCCTTCTTTCTCCTACCTGAGAAAAGAGAAAAGAAAATGGTTTGCACTTAGCTTATTGCATGGTGTAGGTTCAAGAAGGCAGGGCAAAAATTATTTTTAAAAAGAGACTGAAAGATCTAACTAACTCCTGTAGAAATATTTGTTGCTTATGGAGAAAGCATACAGTTAGGCTGAGCCTGACATTTTTTTTAAATAAAAGCCTTCCCTTGATTATTTATCAAATATGCACTCTTCCTTGTTGCAAAGGGATCTTTCCTCTGCTTGAGGCAAGCATATCACATCTTCAGAATTGATAGCATAATAGATGTGATATTTACATTGATGTGGCAATTTATTGTTGCTAGGAAAACAAGGTATCCCTCCCAATCTAGCATTCCCCAGACACTCAACATTTCTAGAAGTTACTTATAGTGGTTGGGAATTCTGGGAGCTGTGGTCCAAGCAGTATCTAATTGGGCAAAGACTTTTTCTTCTGTAAACACAACAATTCTGGTTGGAAAATGTGACTGTCTATTATAATGATTGGTTAAAAAAAAAGAACAGTTCCTCCCACTGTATCCAAATATCATGATGGCAAGCCAGACAGTATGGCTACGGATGACTCCACCTCTGTTAACAAGAGCAGCACAAATCAAGATTATTGGAGAGAAGGCAGAGATTAATCCTCCAGGACTCATCCATTCTTCCAAAGGGCTACCAGAACTGCAAAATTGTGGATGATGCTGACATGGCAGCTGAGAGACTCTTTAAAAAAAAAAATCATCCAGTGTTTACTATAATTTTGCAGTGTAGTTTTAATAATTTTATTCTTCCCCTTATACAGAAGTATTTCTTATATTGGAAACTGATTAAAAATGATAAAAAGATGGAAGTGAGGGAAAGATCATTAGGAGAATTAATAAACCAGGGTTAAACTATTTGTGCAGTTTCTCTTATACTCATGTGTTTGCCCTTAATGTGTAATTCTATTCTTGTGCCACAGTTTTAAAGAGGTTTTTTTAATATTGAAGACTTCAGCTGTAGTATTTGGGGTAAAATTCTGAACCTCTCCAAACTTTACACTGAGCTGGTATAATTCCAGTTGTTCTGCAAGTCCACCAGCCTGGTTTTTCACTTTAGTGCTTTGATATCCAGTCTAAAAAGTCAAATACAAAAAAGATGGGAGGGAGAACAATGGTATTATGGAAAACATTGTGGCTTCCCTCCATTGCTATTTCTCTCTTTCCCTAAAATTCATTACAGGTGAATAGTCTACTGCTGCTTTTGAAAGGACCTTGCAGATAACTATTCTGCAAAGGCTGAAGTGCTATAAAACCAATCATCTGGTTGGCTGAGCATGTTTGTGTTTATATTTGCCCTGGTGTGATTAGCACAGCCTCAGTGAAGTAGGATTTGCATTAATGGATGCAAATTCAGGATCAAACGTGATGCATAACGTTATTTTTTTACTGCAGCAACATTTTAAGTCCTTTTTGGTGAGCGATGGGTAACTTTATGCTCTCCAGATATTTAGATTGCAGCTTCCTTCAGTTTTAGTTGTCATGGCTATGGCAAGAGATACAGTCTACCTGTACTGAAACTCTTGTTCAGCACTGTTGTTCCTGATTGTAGCTCTGTGGTACATCTTTTCAATTCATAACATATCTTATGCCTTAAGTATGAATATGGCATGTTCTATCTAGCCTAAGCAAGTTGTGGTTTGTCACAATCTTATGTCCTTTGAACTCCTGTAGAGGATTGGTCATATTGAATGTGAATGAATACCTTTTATGGACTCATCCCAACCCTTACTCATAATGGCTAGAAATTCAAATTTGTAGGAATTATAGGGGAGAATATTTGGGAAGGATAGAAGTAGCAACATAGAACTTTTTATCTCTCTCTCTATATATATATAACCAAATATTTTGTTGTCGTGACCTTTACTGAATGAAATGGTGTAGCGTAAGGCAACAATTTTTGAAGCAAGGTACCTCAAATGAACTAACTTACAGAATGCTTCCAAAATCTGAGACCCATGACTTTGAGGGAATGAAATTTGGAAAAGTTGTGGCCTCTTCAGTGCTACTGGCTGTTGCTGTGCTGCTGGGTTACTGCTGTGATCATGTGATCTTAATTTCCAAGGTTCCATGACAGTTTCCCAGTCAATCTCATAATTCCTTGCTCCTTCCCTCACCCAGCAGCAGCCACTTACCTGCTTGCTGAAAAGGGAAAAGAAGGACAAGAGAGGGGAGGGGAGGGGAGAAAAAAGAATTTCTGATCATCTTGGTCACTCTGTTTCTCTGTTAGGTGAGGAAATATCTCTGAAACCATGACCCAATGGACTGTCTTTTTCATATTCTTGATAGAATGGGGTAGGGTAGGGAAGAGAAATGATCAAATATGGACCATAGAATAAGAGTTGTTTTATCTGTACAAAATAGGATGAATTCCAATCACTAATGCGGACATTATTATAAAGTTACAGAATTTGTCAGCAAAAACCCTTGTCTGCAATGGCTGAAGTATTATTTAGAAAAAAGAAGAGTGGGATGCAATGTAGAGATATATCATCATTTTATGATCAGAAATGGCAAGTAAGAAGTCCAGTTCTTCATAGAAATTTTGGCCACCATTAATAAAAGTTCCACATAGAATCCTTTATGTCTTTCAGACACAATAATATGCCAGAGTTGGAGTGCTGAGATAGTTTTTGGAGAACAGCTGGCTCCAAAACTTGGGTTTTATGCAAAAGCAAAAAGAAAGGACAAGCTATTGATCTATAATTTGCATAGCAGCTCCATAAGTCAATCAATGCCCATTAAAAAACTGAGATTAAATCAATATACCCTCTCAACTCTCACAAAGATAAAATGCATTAAGGGGTGAGCTTTTCTCTGCAAAATCAGCAACCATATAAGGAGGGAAGAAGGTGGAGAAGTGTCTTAAACTGTCTTCTGGTTCTTCATGCCCTACAAAGAATAGAAATGCAATGAAGACAAGATAATTAAGGAACAAATTCTAAATTCTTTTTGTTGCACAGAACATACTGTTGCCTTTAGAAGATACCATTATTTTTGTATTTATTGCTGACCTAGATTTTGTATTAACATCTGATTTTATTGTCTCTCCATGTTTTGTGCTTTCACCATTTGTCCTGAACATCACACAAGCATGTGTGGGCAATATGTTTTTTCTTTTCTTTTTTGTGTTCCCATGTGTTCTCATCTTGTCTCTAGACTATGAGATAGACAGGCTTAATCTCTTCTTAGATGTTCCAGTATTAACATAGTATTTTCCCTTTATTTCAACATTGTCCAAGGTCAGTATCGGGGTATACAAAGTCTATAAGATTGTGTTACTATAACCTTGGAAGGTAACTAGATGATTGCAGTAACTTGAAACAAAGAGTTGATGCAGAATAGAGATGCAGGTCCCTATTCTGCATCAACTCTTTGTTTCAAGTTACTATAGGGGCAACTAATTTCATGGTGGTGTAGCGTTTTTCCCCAAATGAAGAATGGAAAAATACTATTTCAATTCGGAAGTCATGAAAAACTGTCCATCACAGATTCCTCCTCTCACCTTCCCTTTCTTCTCTGGTTAGTTAAATTCTAAGAGTTCTAAGTTTAAGAACTTATAAGAATTTAGAATAGTCACATTTTTTGCTTCCTTTATTCTAACTTTTGGGCAAACGGCTGCTGTTACAGTAATGAAATGAATTCCCTCCCCCCCCTGTTGCGGGGTATATACAACAGGGACCAATTCAAAGAATAATCTTGTGATGTCTTAAAAATTAACCAAGTTATTATCACATAATTCTTCATAGATAAAAAAATCCCCCAGTCTTTCAGTGACAAGTGGAAAAACGTATTAGTGCTACTGGTATAATTCTTTCATTGACTCCCTTACCATAGGGAAAAAATAATGTACAGTACAGCTCTTGGTTCCCTGTAAAACATATTCCTTTTTGTCTTTGCTTCAAATGGAGACCCTTAAATGAGATTTGGGTGTGGATGGAGCTTCAGCAGGCAAGTTGCTCTGTGTATAGAAAAATAAATGTAAGTGATTTTACAGCCACACTCCAGAGTTTTATTCCTTATCACAAGAACAGCACATAACCCCGGGTCCCTTTTGGCTATACTGTCATTGTACAGAATGCCCAACTACATGGACTATCACTACTTTTCATTGTACTAAAAGTCTTGCTGCAATTGAAAAATGTCATTCTGTTTGGCTTCTTTTTAAAAATCTCTGGGATTTCTATATGATGTTGATCTTATAACTTGGCTTCTTCTTCTGTTGCCTTATTCTTTCCAGCTAAGCTCATTGTGGAGACTGATACTTTTGGAAGCAGAGTAAGAATCAAGGGAGCTGAGACCGGCTTCTATATTTGCATGAACAAAAAAGGAAAGCTGATTGGCAAGGTAAGAAGACAGACAATAAACTTTTGGGAAGATTGTAAGAATATGGCTAAATTGGCTTTTGATGAGGCAGTGGACAATAGCCTTATGCGAACAGGAAGGTAGAAATTTGCTCATTTGCATACTTTCATTTGTTTTGGGAAATATTCATGCAGCAAGTTTACTTTAACCTCAAGAATCCAGTGTTTAAATCAGTCAGTTAAATACACTTTTAGAAGGTGGAGAAAAGAGAAGAGGCTTATATCAGTACTAGGTAGGTGACTTTTTGGAATTGGAGGAATATTTGGATAGATGAAAACATGTGGTTGATTTCCTAACTAAATAGTTGGTATTGGGATATAAACTTGACTATTTACAAAATGTTTATACGATGGCAGATCTGATCACTCACAAAACACTTATTTCTATAACCCCAACAATTGCTCAGCATTTTGTTTTCCCACTTGCTTCTCTTTACTATGCCATTGATTTTACTGGTCATAAATAGTCAAGAAAACTTTACACCAGTTTTTGATGCAGTATAAAATATAAACGGATGGGAAGGCATTGCACATGGTCCTGCAGCCATCTTATTGCATGATGAGATCCATCACAAACATGATACTTCAGGATTTGTTTTTCCAACCTCAGACTGTTCATTTTGGAAGATCAACCATTTTAACTTTAAGTGTGTGCAGGCTTGCTGGAGACCAAAACTGTTTGTATTCTAGACAGACCTTGACCCTTGTTAAAATCCAAATGAAACATTCCTGGATTTGTGAAACATATTTTTGAGTCAACATATATGACGAGGGAAGGAGAACAGGGAGATTTTTTAAATTAAGAACATAGAAGTGATGAATTTAAAATGAGAACATTAAAGCGGTGATACTTCTGCTAATTTTTACACAATTCACCCATGAAAATTCTATAACTTAAAGGTCTTTTGTAAGAAGACCTTGAAAATGGTGGCTTATCTTTTTTTCTATAAAAGAAAATCATGCTTGGGGCTATAAAAATAGTAATTTGTAGAGTGTCCTAATAAGAAACTTAGAATTCGACTCAGAGTCCCTTTACCCACCCTGAAAGCTATTACGTTTAATGCCACATTTAGATCACAGTATTACGAAGCATTCTGTTTTTTTTAATTCTCCCCTTTTTCTATATTTATATGAAGTATTTGCATACTCTTTATTCCACCAATGCTCCATAGAAATACAATTAAGACAAAAGTACTTTTGAAGACAGATCTTAAAATGTTATTAAAACATTAAATTAAACAGTTTGGAACAATCAAAATAACTTAAATATATTTAAGAAGAGTATCTACAAAAGATTTTGACAGCAGTCTAGTTAGGGGCAAACTGAGTGGCACTCCCAGATCTTTTCTTCGGGGTTTGCAATCTAGGCTGCCTGAGGCAGTTAGTGCAGTCTGCTTGATGGTAGGGCCAGTTCCTTCCGGTTAAATCCTAAGGAATTAGACACAACATCAGCATCCTGATCCTTGGGGATTAAAGACGACATTGGGCATGACCATGCAGCCACCAGAAAAAGATTGAGGAAGCTTGGCCCCGAGGCAAGACCAAGCTATTTTACTGCCTGAAGTAGAAGAGCAAATGCAATCTTTCCCCAGAGAACATGTGGGGCAGGGGGTGGGGAATGAACCCTGGCCAAGTTAGTTGGCACCTGAGATAGAAAATCCACAGACTTCTCTCTTAGGTGTAAAAAAAAAAGTAGCAATAAAAAAAATCAAGATTTTTCTTTCTTTTCATGAAAACTCTGAAAAAGTTTTTCCATGAATGAAACTAACTGCATGTGGACCTTGAGAATAAAGGACGAAGAGGAATCAGTGTACTACAGGGCATGGGCCAATTTTACAATTGGCTTAAAAAAAGATATAAATAGAAAGAAACAGGAACAAAACATGAAATAAATAATTCAGACGACACAGTATTAAATTAGGGGGAGGGGAAATTATTTGTATGAAAATATAAAGTTGGGATTGCTGAAACGCCACCCCAAGAACCCATCAGAGAAAATAAATAAGTAAGGGCAACAACGGAAAGGAGGGGGGATGAGGAGGGAAAAGAAGAAAGGATAAAGCAGAGAAAATAAGGGTGGGGAATTAAGAATAGGAGAGAGGGTAAGAAAGANAAGATTATCCCCAGGCCTGACGGGTTAGCCAGTTCTTGAGGGCTGTGCGGAAGGCCTGGACGGTGGTGAGGGTACGAATCTCCACGGGGAGATTGTTCCATAGTGTCGGAGCCGCAACATTTATGTGGGAAGCTTGGCCAGTGGTAGAGGTGAAGATCCAAGGAGTGAGACCAAATGAAATTTCAATTAAACATTCTTTGTGGCCCCTAAGAAGACATTGGTGAGTTGGTGCTGATAGACTAATACAGTCTAAATACAGTACTCTATTCTAGTTAAGAGGAGTCCAGGCACATATGAGCAAAGGTGTCACCCAGACTGGATTCAAACAATGTATATTGGAAGCTGTTTCACTCAGACTATATATTATAATCTTTCACTTGTCCTTTCAGTTTTCTCTATTGACTAAGTTAATGTATTTTCAACTCTTTTTCACTGTTTGTCACTCCCTCTTAATTCTTCAAAGTAAAGATTCCCTGGTATGGATTGGAGTTTTCCTGTAGATGATAGTGGAGCAGCAGGAGGCATTACAACCAGAGGATTTGATTGTTGGGGATGTTGAACACGTTGGAGTTTTCACAGCCACTTTGCTAACAATTCTTAGTGTTTCTAGTGTAAATTAAAAATGCCACGCTATCATCATCTAATTAATAACATGATTTTCACCCCCTTCTTCAATAATGAAGGTAAAATAGAATTGAAGTATGCATACAGACAATTAGTTCTAATTTCTACCCATCTCATACTCAAGTTCTAGATATTTTCCTTCCAAATTGTATTTCTGTTACATGGATTTTATGGCATGTATTGGAAAGATTTTCCTCTCTACTCCAGTCAGTGCATCATTGCAGGCATGTATTAGATTTTTTGTTTTAGACATTTATCCTGCCTTTTTTTTCATGAATAGCTCAAGGTGGTCAACCCACAACAATAAGAACCCTGATGTGAGTTGAGCTAAGAGAGAGTGACTGATAAGATATGATGCCATCAGTAATAGAGACAGAACTCAGTTCTGTATCATTCATATACTTCTAACTTAAAAAAAATCTGTTTACATTTTTAAAATGACTGGGCATGTTGCTACACTGAACTAATCATTCAAAAAAACTCTGAATGCCGTAAATTCATATTAGGCCTACACTAGATTCTAGTGTAGAATCTAAGGTAATTCCAACACTTGCATTCAAAAATGGCTCTTAGGACCTTTGGTGGTGATAAAACATAGCTCTTGTTGGGATTTTTCAGTTGCTTCCAGTGGGTTTTCTTTGTATGTTCCAAGCAATTTTGATTCACTCCTACTGTGTGTGAGGTGCATATATAGCTTATCATTAGCCTAAAAAAAATTCTCTACAATCAAAGGGAGATGAAAGAGAGATGGAAATTAATCAATCACATCTTTAGTCCCTGTAGCTTCCTCAATTCAGTCCAAGATATGGTAGGATATCAGTTCTTAGAATCTCAGGTTAATGGGTGGTACTAGTTAGGTGAAGAGTAAAGTTATTGGTAGAATATTAATTAAATATAAACTTTTTTATTTGCCTACTAATAGCCTTTCCTGAAGACATAGAGAAAATGAAACAAAACCAAGCAGTTTAATAGATTTCCAAATATAGCCTTCCCTTCAAGTGCCTAGCCTCGGGCCAATGATAGACTAACTTCAGAGAAGAAAATAGGTCCCAGTGCATTTAATCATTTTTCTAATGCTGGACAAAATCTTTTAAAGATGCTTAAACTGAATGTGATAATCCAAAGGCTGGTCATAGTTGATTGAATAATCCACAATAAAGTCATCCAGCACCAGATTCATCTTTTATCATGAAGACATTGATTTGTTGCTTACAGTCCACATAAAGTGATACCCAGTAGGGAGAGAAATACCTTTTGCTAATAGCTTGTGAACTTCTCTTTATTGCCTGTTATCACAGTCCTGCCTGCTAATTTTAACACAAGGTAAATTGCTGAGCATCTCATGTCTCTGTGAAGCAACTGCTGGAAACCAATTCTTATTGCAATTAACTACCAGTTGGTTTCAGTTCAGCCTGTTAACTATCAGCCTCCTATCAGGAGCTGGTAAAGATTGATTCTTCAATAGCTGCAAATGGATGGAGAATGAAGACATGGGCCATGGAGTCGTTTTATACTTTTTGACAATTTGGGGCTTGCCAAATACCCTTTCCATAATTCTAAGAATAATGACCAAGTGAATTATGAGATGAATATCTTGCTGGGAGTTAAGGGGTTTTCTATCCACATAGATTGAGGCATTTTAATTTCCAGATTATATTTTTGGGGAGTTATGGAAGTAAACTCTGATACAACTGAAGGATTGCAGATTGGGAAAGGTTACACTATTGAATTTTGAAATTTGTATTTCCCTGGGCCATGTTATCTAGGGATTATGGGAACTAACAATAGTTATATATAATTACAGAGTTGGAGGATACCAATTTGGGAGAGGCTGTTGAATGTGTTGGACAACTGATTGAAGGAGAAACCTTTTTCCAAGGAACTTAGATGGTGATATGAGGGCCAAGGAACATCTAGTAACTCAAATATCTTAAGAGGTATCAGAACACATTATTTATTTATTGCATTATTATGCTGTAATTATATCCTGTTTGCTGTGGCATTCAGTCTGTTATGGTTCTGGCTTAATATAATAAATAATAAATACTATAAAATTTTCTTCTTAAAAGTTTAGCTTCTTCTTTCAATCATTTCCACCAACTGCAAAAACCATTCTCAAAGGCATCTCCAGGGCCATTAAATAGGGAGTTTATATTAATATTTGTATTCATATTACAAATACAAATGCAGGAAATTTCTTAGGGCTACTTTAATTTTAGTTTTAAATAATTGCCATACAGTTGTTA